TCGCTTCTGCGCTCTCTCCAATGCATTCACGCCCTTCCTTTCTGCAGGGGACACAAGGAGTATGAGAAACATAGAAAATAGGAACAGGAGTAGGCCATTCAGCCCTTTAATCCTGCTCTATCATTTAACACAACGATGGCTGATCATCCAACTCATATGCCGTTCCAGTTTTCTCCCCATATCCTATGATCCCTTTAACCCCAAGAACAATATCTGACTCCTTCTTGAAAACATTCAATGTTTTTGCCTCAACCACTTTCTGTGGCAGAGAATTCCAAAAGCTCCCCACTCTCTGGCTGAAGACATTTCTCTTCATCACAATTCTAAATGCCTTATCCCATAGCCTTAAACTGGGAACCCTGGTTCGGGACTCTCCACGGTCATTGGGAATATCCTTCCTATATCTGACCTGTATAGTCTTGTTAGAATTTTATGGGTTTCTAGGAGATCCCCCCTCATTCTTCTAAACTCCAGGGAATATAGTCCTAACCCTTCCAATCTCTCTCCATACGAATCATAGAATAGAAGACCTACAGTGCTGAAAGAGGCCATTCAGCCCATCAAGACTTCACCAAATCTCTAGAGACTATTCCCCCCAGACCCATTCCCCCTACCCCACCCCCATAACTTTCACAGGGTTTTTTTTAAAACCAAGGCAAACTCACCTAGCCTGCACATTTCTGGACACTATTGGACAATTTCCCATGGCCAATCCACCTAAACTGCACATCTTTGGACTGTGGGAGGAAACCAGAGCACCCAGAGGAAACCCACGCAGACACGGGGAGAATGTGCAAGCTCCACACAGACAGTCTCCCGAGGGTGGAATCGAACCTGGGTCTCAAGTCCTAACCACTATGCTACCATACTACCCTATCCCAGGAGTCAGTCAGGTAAATCTTCATTGCACTTGATCCAGACAGAACATTAGCTGGGGGGCTGTCTCTTCAAAACAGGAAATCATTTTATCTGTCTCCCAACTTCTGCTGGGGACCAGTCCATTGCAGTGCCCCCTCCTCAGCTCAGTCTGTGGGTGCTTCAGGAATGGCCGCCTGGGTGAGACAGCAGATGGACACTCTCAAACCTTCAGGTCTGAGACAGAGCAATGGCCAACAGATAGGACATACCCTCCACCTACAAAACTCACCCCCTATCCCAGGGTCTGCTGTTCGATCGAATGGGAATTAGTGGTGGAGCAGTTTGGGTGAGGATGTCCATTGAGAGGGGTTGGGGTGGGGGTCTGTGAAACAGACCAGTGACAGGATTTGGGGGGAGACAGGAGGAGAGGGAGGTCTGTTAGCAGTGGCTGGGAGCACCCTCCTCCTCCTGTTTTTGAGGCAACTCTAATCCTTTACTCAAACTTCCAGAGGCCTCCTGCCAAACCCAATGTGGGAGCAAGAAAAATCCCCCACACCCTGTTTGTATTGCTCCTCACTCGTCCCACGTCCCACAATCACAGACACTGTGCAATCTGATGGTGTGAGTGCTGGTGATTGAGGGCGGGTGGGGAGGGTAGGGAGGAATGTGGCTGCACCCCTCTGATTTTTCTACACCTGGGCATTCCCAGCTAATGTTAGAGAACTCTGGGTTGTGGCTTCCAGACTGGAAGGTCAGTCTTCGCGTGTTCCAATTCGTCAAAGACCATTGGGCTCCTAGTCAGGTCATGGCTGATCTGCAGCATGGCTCTCAGTTCCATCTCCCTAAATAATTCCTCCCCTGACTAAAAGCCACATGGATTCTGGGTAATCCAAAATGGATTGATAGGAGAACATCGTGGCTGTAAGAGCTGCTCGTTTTTGTTTTTGAGGGTTTTTCAGTGTCGGAGCTGATTTCCTTGATTCCTTGGAGCAGTAATTACTGTTTTATAAGCTGTTGCATTCTTTTGGAACTTTGGGGAAAAAAAACCAAAACAATGGTACTTTAAACAGGAGAGAGACAGGCACAGAGAGGGAAGGTACCATGTGGGAAATGCAGAGGGTGGTGCGTGTATGGAACGAGCTGCCAGAGGAAGTGGTGGAGGCTGGTACAATTACAACATTTAAAAGGCAACTGGATGTATATATGAATAGGAAGGGTTTGGAGGGACATAGGCCAAATGCTGGCAAATGGGACCAGATTAATTTAGGATATCTGGTTGATATGGTCTAGTCGGACTGAAAGGTCTGGTTCTGTGCTATATATCTCTATGAGTCTATGACTATCTGTTGTTATATTGATTGCAGCACTGTAGCATGGTCACTGGATTGGTAATCCAGATAGGCGAGGCTAATGTTACAGAGATATAGGTTCAAACCTCACCACAGCAGCTGATGCAATTTAAATTCAATAAATTAAATGTGGGATGTAAAGGCACTCCCAGTGATGATAAGTATGAAACTATCATCAATAACTGTAAGAATCTATCTGATCCTTTCAGAAGGTAATACGTAGTAAACTAATGGTGAAGCAGTAAGTTTATCAAGTTGTTTAAGTTGTTGTTAATTCAGAAGACAGGCTTAATAATCCAGAACAGCGTGATCTCAAATCTCTTTATAGGCACCTAAAAGAAAATTGAAGCAAAAACCCATCTGCCCATTAAGGAAGTAAATCTGCCATCCTTACCTGGTCTGGCCTACATGTGACTCCAGACCCACAGCAGCAATGCGGATGACTCTTAACCTCATTCTTAACCTCAAATGGCCCTAACAAGGCACTCAACATTCAAGATGGCATCTCACTACCAGCTTCTCAGGGGCAATTAGGAATGGTCAACAAATGTTTGGCCTTGTAAGTGATGCCCCATACCCTTGAAAGAACGGATTTAGAACTTTGACCCTGAATCCTTTGGAGTAGAAGCAGCTGTCAGATTTGAATCGCCTGGTTGGGAGGATTGAGGGTGGTTCAGCACATGCTAGCCTCATCAGGGATTTCAAACCTGCCGAGTTGGAGCCTCATTCCAGAGGTTCAAGCCCCAAAGGCAGGCGGGTAGAGCTAGTGCCAGCATTGAAGGGGTGCTGCACTGTCTGAGGCCCCAGTGGAACTGGGAACACCACATAGAACTACAGTCCATCATGTATGCACTAATCAAAAACAACCACCTAACTATTCTAATCCCATTTTGCTGCTCTTTGCTCAGAGCCTTGTCTGCATTGTTATCACAAGTGCTCATTTAAATACTTCCTCAATATAATGGAGTTTCTGCCTCTGCCCACCCTTACAGACAGCAAGTTCCAGATATCCCCCCCATTCTCTGGGTGAAAATGCTCTTCCTCACAGCCCCCTCTAAATTTTCTGCCCCTTCCTTTAAATCTATGCCCCTGGTCATTGACATCTCCACCGAGTGGAAATGTTTCTTCCTCCCAACCCTGTCTATGCCTCTCGTCACTTCCTTCATCTCAATCATGTCCCCTCTTACTCTCCTTCATTCTCAGGAAAGCAACCCCAGCCTGTCCACTCTCCCTTCATAGCTGAAACTGTCCAGCCCAGACAGCATCCTAGTAAATCTCCTCTGCCCCCTCTCTCATGCATCATTGAGGTCAGATATTAAACCCAGGAACCTACACACCCTCTCAGGTAGATATGAAGGATTTCATGGCCATTATTTTTAGACAGGAACAGGAGTCCTTCCCTTGTATGCTGGGCCAATATTTATCCCTCAACCAATACCAGGAAAATCTGGTTCAGTGCTTCCCAACACTTTTCTCCCACACCCTCATTTTGTGGTTTGAAAATTTGTTGAGGCCTAAGTGAGAACTGAGAGAGCTGGCGCACGGTTGTTATAACTCAGTCAGACTTCCATCCATGATCACTGCTGCTTCTGAGTTCATGACCCCGCCCCAGATTTCAATTTCCGACCCTGTGAGAGGTTCTGAACTCCACTTGGCACAGAGCTCATCTTCACTCCAGTGAAATATCTGGAATCTTGCTGTACATAAAACTATCTACACTGTTTCTAACGCTATAAGCATCTCTGAAATATTAAAATGTATTTCACTGGTCATAAAGCCCTTCAGGACATCCCGAGATGATGAAAAGGCATGCCACAGAAATGCAAGTGTTTCTTCTCTCATTAGGACCAAGAGGTGGATGCCCAGACAGGATTCATTTTCTTACGAACACAGAATCGGCAACAACAAATTTAATAACACTGTCTTTTTAAAATATATTTCTATAGAGATTTTGGAATTATAAACGTTATTTCAACAACCATACTTTGCATTTATATAGTGCCTTTAATGCAGCAACCAACCCAAGGTGTTTCACAGGAAGCATTATAGAACACATGAGCCATGTCAGGTGACCAGGAGCTCAGTCGATGGCCAAGGTATTCAGGAGCATCTTAAAGGAGGAGAGCAAGAGCGCGAGCGAGAAACAGAAAGAAGAGATGGAAAGAGAAAGAGATGGAAAGAGAAAGAGATGGAAAGAG